GTTCGTCCCCATCAGGTTCGTCCCCATCAGGTTCGTCCCCATCAGGTTCGTCCCCATCAGGTTCGTCCCCATCAGGTTCGTCCCCATCAGGTTCGTCCCCATCAGGTTCGTCCCCATCAGGTTCGTCCCCATCAGGTTCGTCCCCATCAGGTTCGTCCCCATCAGGTTCGTCCCCATCAGGTTCGTCCCCATCAGGTTCGTCCCCATCAGGTTCGTCCCCATCAGGTTCGTCCCCATCAGGTTCGTCCCCATCAGGTTCGTCCCCATCAGGTTCGTCCCCATCAGGTTCGTCCCCATCAGGTTCGTCCCCATCAGGTTCGTCCCCATCAGGTTCGTCCCCATCAGGTTCGTCCCCATCAGGTTCGTCCCCATCAGGTTCGTCCCCATCAGGTTCGTCCCCATCAGGTTCGTCCCCATCAGGTTCGTCCCCATCAGGTTCGTCCCCATCAGGTTCGTCCCCATCAGGTTCGTCCCCATCAGGTTCGTCCCCATCAGGTTCGTCCCCATCAGGTTCGTCCCCATCAGGTTCGTCCCCATCAGGTTCGTCCCCATCAGGTTCGTCCCCATCAGGTTCGTCCCCATCAGGTTCGTCCCCATCAGGTTCGTCCCCATCAGGTTCGTCCCCATCAGGTTCGTCCCCATCAGGTTCGTCCCCATCAGCATCAAATTCAATTTCGCGCGCGCAAATTTTTTTCAGGCTGCTCGATTTTTTTTTGCCCAAACGTCTTGCGTCTAAAAGTGTGACTTGCATCTAAAAGTGTGTCTTGCGTCTAGTGTCGAGACGCTGCGTCTAGACGCTAGACGCAAGACGCGTCTAGCGTCTTCCGCAACTCAGGGTGCTGTGCTATACTGTGCTGTGTATGCCTTCAAATGTGCGTATTATCGCAGTTCTGTGGCACATGCATGGTCGAGTGTGCTCTATGGGTTGTGTGTCTATGTGGGTGGTTATACATGCACGTGAATAAGTCGTGGTTGTGTGGGGTCAGTGTGTTCTGCCCCGATGGAAGATGCCTGGGTAACGTCATGATGCTTCCCTTCCGGTCAGTTGTTGACGGTTAATGTCTAATGCCTGGTTAATGCTTCCCTGCCTGCCCGCCACCAGGACTTGAGGGAGGGCACGGGGCCAGCCCCCCAACCAGGCGACCTCGTTGTCGTGAGTGCTGCTCTGCTGCTCTGCTGCTGCTCTGTGCTTTCCATGCCACATGTACTGCCATACTTGCCATGCCTTATCTCATGCAAAATCTTGCCAATCCATTTGCCATGCCATACCAACCCATTGCCCCTTCCCACCATGTGCCCCGCACCGCACCCCACTCTGCGCTCGCCCCCTGCTATCGTGCAGGTGGACTGGGCGGGGTTCACCATAGGCTACTACGGGCGCATCTTTGAGGCACGCAACAAGCCCAAGGGCGGCTCCTTTGAGGTGCCGTGGGGGGGTGGGGGGGGGGGATGGGGATGTGGAACTCTGTTTTGGATCTTGCAACGTTAAATGGGGTGCGGTTGAGGGCGAGGGGCTGCCACGGCTGTTCACAGGCATCTCGAGTTAAGGCCACGCTCATGTTAAAGTGCCACGCTCACCTTGAGCTGATGCTTTCCTCCTCCCTGCTCGTCTGCCCCTGTCCTCGCCCTGTGTGTGCGTGTGTGGTGCGCAGGGCAACGAGAAGGATTTCTTTCGCTACCGTGTCGGCCAAGGGGAGGTGCGTGCTGTCCCTCCCTCACCTGCATGCTGCCACGCATGCAACGCATGCTGCTACCACTCCCTCTGCTGTGCTCGACGTTGCCTCAGTGCCGTGATATGCCATCACGCACATGCACACGCATTCGTCTCACCCCATGCTCCAACCCACGCGCATCCATCCACTCGTGTGTGCCGTGCCATGTGTGGTGGTGGCAGGTCATCCCGGCATTCGAGGAGGCTGTGGCGTCCATGAAGCTTGGGGGCGTGCGCAGGTGAGGGGGGAAGAGGGGGCTGAAAAGGGGTGCTCTGTACGCTGCATTGATTGCGATCCATCCTCGTGGTATGGAGCACATGCAGCATGCGTGGTGCTTGCTTGAGATGTCATGCAATCAATTTGAGCTGAACAGTATCGCTCCTGATAGCATGTCTTGGCGTGTCCTGCCTCATCCGCTGTGCTCTGTGTCACATTTGTGCTGCACCCTCCACCCACCAGGATCATCGTGCCTCCGGAGATAGGCTATCCAGACAACAGTTTCAACAAGCAAGGACCCAAACCCACCACCTTCTCCGTCAGTTCCTTCCACTGCACCCACACCCACTGGACTGGACCTATCCTTGCAGCGCCGCTTATCCACTCGCTCCATCTGCTGCTGTTTCTCTCTTGTTCTGTCATCTACACAAACTCACTGGGCCATTCTTCTCCTGCCTTGGTGCGGTCTACTCGCTTGCCTTGTGCTGTTCACTCCGTGCCCCAGGGCCAGCGAGCACTTGACTTTGTGCTCAAGAACCAGGGGCTTATTGACAAGACACTGCTCTTTGACATCGAGCTGCTCAAGATCATCCCCAGCTAGCACATTGAGCCGCTTCCGGTTATACTCCCTCGCTCCCACTCACCTCCTTTCTTATTTGTGCCATCCACGCACGAACACTAATAACCTGTAGGTCAATGTATGGTATGGAGTAATCTATTCAAAGCTCACCCACTTTTACACAGATGCCATCCGTTTTTGCCAGCATGAGTTCAGCGTACACATAGGTAGGAGGACTAAGCAGCAACTCAACAAGGTACCACCCAATACCATTGCCCACTGATAAGCCCAATATTGGCATCCCAGCACGAAGCATAGGGGAGGGGCCAATATGGTAGGAGGTTGGGAAGGTGCTGTTGACGCATGGGCACTTCTGCTGGTTGGCAGAACGGATGGTAGCAGTGCTGCTGAGGGGAGCTTCCTGCCTGTATGCACAACCGCCCTGACTTGCTCTGCTTTGCTCACCCACCACACATCTCTGTGGTGCACTTTGTTGTTGGGGATGTCAGAGTCAAGTGTGGAGATTCCTTGCAGAGTGAAACTGTACGGTATGTGTACCGTACATTGCTCTCCTAAATGTCTCACGTACGTAGATGGATAGGGATCAGAATAGAAAGAGCAACATGGGCAGGTGGAACAATGCAAGTCGTGCATGGTTGCATCATAGGACGGTCACAAGAGGGGACGATCGTGCGGTGGCAAGCACAGCATCAACCACAGCAGTCCATCCCTCCCCCCTCGCATCTAAATGCACCACCCGCCACTCCCCCTCCTCCTCTTCCTCCTCCCAATCATCCCGCGCCTCCCACTCCTCTCCATCCCCCTCTCCCCACCTGTCACTCTCCCTTCCCCCGTCCCCACCTGTCACTCTCCCTTCCCCCGTCCCCACCTGTCACTCTCCCTTCCCCCGTCCCCACCTGTCATTTTCTCCCCAAGCTCCGCCCTCCCCTGTGCTGCCCCTCCAGCCGCCCCTGCAGCTGGCTGCCCCCTGGGGAGCACATCGGGTGTATCTGTGGCGCCCGGGGGGTTTGGAGTAGGCGGCAGGAGGGAGATGGAGAGGTGGAGACGGTGGGCGGGCAGCAGAGGGAAGAGGGGCTGCGGCCACTCAATCAGACACAGCCCTGATGGGGGGGAGAGGGGCCGAGGGGATTTAAGGAAGGGAAAAAGGGAATGGGCGAGGGAGTATGAGATGAGGGGAGGTGGAGTGTCTGTGGTGGTGAGAATTGGGGGAGAGAGAGGGGTCAGGTGGGGACAGTGGGAGGAGCATGGGGAGAGGAAGGGATGTGGTGCAGGGAAGGGGCAGGAGCAGTGGGAGTACCGGTAGCAAGCGAGTGTGCAAGGTCCAGCCGTTGAATGTCAGGCGATGATGATGCTGCTGCTGCTGCTGCCGCAGGTGTGGCAGTGAGCAGGGCACCCAGGCGGTACGCATCGTAGTGATGCACCGTGCTGGGGGGGGGGGGAGGGGAGGGGGACGAGGGAAAGGGGAAATGGGGAAGGGGCTGTATGATTCGTGGGAACAGGGGTAAAGTAGGTGTGAGCGCAGGGCGGTAGGGGCGGTGCGGCAAGGGGGAAGGGGGAATGGCGAATGGAGACAGTAGGACAATGTGGGGCGTACAGGTTGGGCGCGGGGTAGGAGTTGAGGAGCAGGAAGGTGGGCGACGTGACGATGAGGTCAGGGTCGCCCGTCAGCGCTCGGATGAAATGCCGACTGTGAGGGGTTGGGGGACACGGAGGGAGGGAGTGGGTGTGGAGAGGGGGGCATGGAGGGACCTTGAGGAGGTATATGACAGCAGCATGCCCAGAACAAGCAAGCACGCTGCCCCACAAAAAGCAAGCACAGCAGGGGTTGGCGGGGCAGGCGAATACGCATAAGGAGCTGCTGGCAGGCACATGCCACGTGCCACATGCAACAACGGTAACACCCCATCCATTTTAACGGAACCTACTCTCTCCTGCCCTTCTTTCCAGCACTTCTCTTTCCCTTTCCCTCGCCTCCCCACCCCTATTCTTCCCCCCCCCCCCCCAGGCGCACCAGAAAGTGGTCTTCCCCGCGCCCACCTCCCCCTGCAGGCACACCACGTCCCCCACCCCCACTGCCCCGCCGCTCCGCTCCCCCGTTCCGCGCGCCTCGCCGCCCCTCCCCCCCTCACCCTCTCCGCCGATTCTCTCCGCCAGCTCTCGCGCCAGCCATGCCAAGGCGCGCTCCGTCCGGCAAAGGACACGTGGCACCCCGTCATTGGCTGGCGGCAATAACTGTGACCCTGGAGATTGTACGGACTCGTCGGAATTCGCGTCTATTCCCGCTGAAACTACTCGGCCGGCAGGACTACCGGGCAACCGACCGCTGCTGGCTAATGTGACGCTTCGTTGACGGAACGCGCGAGAATTCCGGCGCAAATCGCGGCGAGAGGAGGGCGCAGTCTGGAGGAGTGACGAAAGGGAGTGCGGCTGGCAGGTGTGACAGAAGGAGACGTGACTATAGGCGCGCGGTAGAAGCGCGCAGAGAAGCGCCGATGGCGGGCGGGCGCGCTGGGCGAATGAACTCCTTAATCCAGTAGCTAGTAGCATGCTGGAGAGCGCGCATGGGATCGCACGCTGTTCGCACAGTGGCTATCGCTATCAGAGGTGTACACGCATGAGCTGTTGTTATTGTGTCCTGTGCTGTGGTTGCGAATAGCCCTGCTGAATTCGCCGTACTGCACCGCATTGAACCTGTGATACCCGTGCGGGTTTTCCCTTCCCTTCATTCACAGCACAAATTCGCCCCTTTTCAATCCCCCCAGCTTATCCCAGTGCGCTTCATTCCAATCCTACACGCCCGCAGCACCGCAGCGATGGAGGGCGGCGCGGAGGCGAGCGAGCAGGCGCGCGGGCAGCAGCGACCCACGGTATCGATCGCGGTGCCGGGGTCCATCATCGACAACACGCAGTCGCTCGAACGCGCCACCGCCGTACGCTTCTCGCCCGCGCCTTCCCCGCGCATTCCGCTCCTTCCCCCGCATGCCGTTTATCTCCCGCGCATTCGGCTCTTTTCCCGCAGAATCCCCCTCTTCCGTTCCGCTATTATCGCGCTCCAACCCCTGCGACTCGCTAACCCCGCAATAAACCCTCAACCCTCGTCGCCACACGCGGCCTCTCTTTAGCACATCCTCCCAAATCCGCCGAATTGGGACGCCGTTCTGATCGCCAAAACATCTAACTTCTAAACGTTATCTCCTGTTTCCTTAAACCCCGGCGCAGGTAGCGGGGCAGATCGCGCGCGCCGCCGTCATTTTCAAGGTGCACGAGATTGTCGTGTACGACGACTGGGACGCGGAGGGCGACTCGAGCGCGCCGCGCGGGTGGCGCGGGGAGCGCTTCTCGGGGTCCGCGGGGTCGTTCCTGGCGCGCGTGCTACAGTACCTCGACACCCCGCAGTACCTCCGCCGCGCGCTCATTCCGCTCACGCCGGACCTGCGCCTCGCGGGGCTGCTTCCGCCGCTGGACGCGCCGCACCACGCGCGCATGCACGAGTGGCCCGAGTTCCGCGAGGGCGTGGTGGTGGCGGACGGGGAGGGGGAAGCGGGAGAGGCGAGCGCAGGGGGGAGCTGCGCCGTGGACGTGGGGCTACAGCAGGTGGGGGGGAGCGGAAGCTGGGGATTGCAGGGAAGGGGAGTTGTTGTTAATCAGAGGGGGGAATGCCGATAATTTGTAATACACTGCCATGTTGTCCTGCACTTACCTGCTATCCCCCCCATTCCCCATTCCAACACTCCCACAAGCCCACATTCCCACATCCCCACGTGCTTGCTTCCTCGCCTCCTGAAAAACCCCATGTGCGTGCAATCATGGCAGAGGGTGCGTGTGCGAGGAAACTTCTCGGAAGGCACGCGGCTGACAGTGGCCATGGGGCCTGTGGCCGAGCGAGACAAGGTGTTACACCCAGGTGGGAGAAGGAGGAGAAGAGGGGGCGGGGGGGGATGCGGAGGGGTGCAGGGGTTGGAGTGGAGGTGGGGGACTGAAGGATGGGATTTGTTTGAGAGTGGGGAGTTCAGCAGTGCAGCGTATGTGTAACTGCCCGCCCTCCCTCCCTCCTTGCCTCCCTCCACTACCCTCACCACCTCCATCAATCCATCTCTATACCCCTCCTTCCCTCCCCCCTCCCCTCCCCCCTCCCAGGAGTGCTGCTGACGCCCGTGGCCCCGCACGTGCCGTGGGGGGAGAGGGGGCAGTACTGGGGGTACTCTGTGCGCCTTGCCAGGGGCGTCTCTGGCGCCCTCTCCGCCTGCCCCTTCCCCCCCGCGCCTTCCTCCGCGGATGGGGGAGCAGGGGGCGCGGGGGACGGGGGAAAAGGGGCGGGGGAGGGGCGCAGCTCTGATGCTGCTGTGGTGGGGGGAAGTGGGGGTGCGGGGGAGGGGGAAGGGGCGGAGGAGGGGAGGGAGGGCGGGGGAGGCGGAGGGGAGGAGGGTGAGGAGGGGCGGGGGAAGAAGAGGAGGCGGCGAGGGGGGAGGAAGAGAGGCGCAAAGCGGGGGTTGTATGGGGAGGGGGGTGGGGGTGAGGGTGGGGGTGGTGGGGAGGGAGTGGGGGGAGGGGGTGCGGAAGTGGGAGCAGCAGGGGGGGGAGGCGGGTACGATTTGATCATAGGGACATCGGAGCACGGCGATGTGAAGGAGATCGGGCACTTCAAACTGCCGCCCTTCCGGTACGCCCTCCCTCTCTCTCTGCACTGCCCCTCTGCTTCCTGCTCACACTATCACCAACACCCCATTCCTCCTCGTCTCTTCCATCCCTCTCCTCTCCCTCTTTCCCACCCCATCCTCCCCTCCCTCCCTCCCCGCCTGGCAGGCATTTATTGGTGGTGTTCGGGGGCGTGGCGGGGTTGGAGGAGGCATGTGAGGGCGACGAGGGGCTGGGGGCGAACAGCAGGGACCCGCGGCAGCTGTGCCAGCTCTACCTCAACACGTGCCCGCACCAGGGCTCGCGCACCATTCGCACCGAGGTGCGCTGTTGGTGGGCGAATGGGGGAGGATGGGAGAGGGGGGAGGGGGGTCAGGTGCGGGGGAGAAGGCACGCGGGCTGTGCCAGCTGTACCTCAACAGGTGCCCGCTGCAGGGCTCTCGCACCATTCGCACTGAGGTGTGATGTTGGGGGGGGTGGATCGGTGCAGTGTTGGGCATGGGGGAGTGGGGGAGGGCTGGGATGCGAGGCGAGGTTGGGGATATGTGGGGGTTGTTGGAGAGGGGGGAGTGGCGGGGTGAAGTGAGAGCGCTGGGCTTCCCATGCCATACCATGCCATAACGTGCCATGCCATGCCTCTCCCCCATTCCCCGTCCCATATGCATGCAGGAGGCGGTGCTGATATCTCTGGCGTACATCTCAGCACTCATGCCGTGACCACCACCCCCACCAACCTGTGCACCTATCACACGCCTCCTCTCCTTGGTGCATCAGTACCCAGCTTGCACATGCACATCTCACGAGTCATGACCCTCTGCACTGCCTTCATGCTGTTGCATGCACTGGGTGCTTGAATGGGACCGTGAGGGTGATTGTGTTAATATGTATGAGCCTAGCAACAACCTACTGTAGCTGCACTGGCTGGTGACTAGGCCAGTCATTGTTGTTATGTCATCTCTAATGGCCTTCTCTACCCACTCCTGTATCCACATGGCACCCCTATGGGGCTAGGCCGTCAGTGTCAGATCCTACAGGCTTATACATGCCATCCTGCTTTACATCTCTTTGCTGCCCTAGAGCTAGCACGATATCAAGAATTGCCGCTCTGCAGCCATTCTATTGCCCTTCATACTGCTGTGCTGCTTGTGCCCGGCGCATTCTAAAGCTACTACGGTACTGGTATAGCATGGATAGAGGAGACGGCAGAGGTGGCCCGTGTCCGATCGGAGTGGCCATTGCTGCTCCCCCTTGTTTAGACGACTAGCCAGTGCAGCAGCACCCAACTGATCTGCACCCTACAGGCGTGTGCTTTGGCTCTAGTTTGCCAGCTTTGAAGCTATAGTTGACGTGACAGTCTACCGCTGCGATGAGCAGGGCTGCTGTGAGCGCTCCACCCTTGTGATGTGAGCCCGCTCCTGCTGGCTACCCACCCTGTGCTGCTCGCACCTTGACGCCCCTGTGCTTTTGCCCCCTCACCTCGCACACGCAGCGTCGTGCGTGCTCTGACACGTGCCCAACGCCATCCTCTGCTGAACCGTCACACATGCTACGCATGCAACCTGCACCCTGCACCCTGCATCAGACCAGCCTACAACACACCTACATGCCTAACACTACACATGCAGCAGCTTTTAAGAGTAATGCACATGCCGAGTCACAAACATGCATGTGTCCAGTCAAACAAAGTCAAGCAAGTCAACGGTCAGTCACGGTCGATCCATAGAGCATCCAGGCACATGGAACAGAGTGCTAACACGTCGCAGATGCCGCTAGGTGCTGGAGGGTGCAACATGGCAGAAGTGAGAAACAAGGTTGACACGCAAGTGGAAGGGCCCTCGGGCAGCTCTGCAAGCAGAGGGACCTGCAAGCCCTCACGGCCTGCAGCTGGCACAGCATCCCAGTAACACGCGGCACCACAGCATCAGAGAGTTCTTTGAGTCGACTCAGGGTTCGCCTCCCCACACACCTCAACAGCGCACTGCACCACGCGCCGCCCGCCCGCTACGATGCTCCGCCAACGTGCCCGCCAACGTGCCCACCGTTGATGCTACGCTGCAACGGTGCACAGGGACCTGCGCGCCGTTGTGATGCTCCGCCAACGGCGGGGCACACGGACATGCGAGGGTGTGCCTTCACATTCCTCCACATCACCACGCAGCCCCGCCTTGTGCCTCACCTGCCACCACCCCTGCTCCAGCCTCCCCTCTCCCCTGGCTATCCCTTATCCCCCTCTCACCCGTCCTGCCACATCCGCGACTCCTGCACTTGGCACGCCCCCAGTGCCCCTCACCTCCGCCCCACTCCACCCTTGCCATCACCCTCACGCCCACCGCCTTTTGCGTGCCGGCCGCTCCGTCTTGCCTTCCCCTCCTCCCACCCCTTCACCCTCCGCCCTGCCACCAGCACCACCACTTGCCAGGCTGCCCGCCTCTCCCCCCATCCCCACTCCCCCCCCACCCTCGCCTGCTCCCTCCCTGTCACCGCGCCTGTCCCCGCCGTCATCTGACATGCGCTTCCTCCCCCCTGCACCACTCGCCCCTCCATACGCGCCCGCAACACCTTCCTCCCCCCCACTCGCCCTGCGACCATCCCCGCCCCCTCCCCCGCCCCCCACGTGCACCACCAGGTGGCCCTGACTCTCCCGCCACGCGCCCCCTCCCCGCCTGTCCGCGGCCCCTTCCCCCGCTCGCCCCCCCACCTGCACCACCAGATGCCCGTCCGTGCGCTGTACCGCACTGCGCCGCACTCCACCGCCACCAGCTCCTGCAGCAGCGCCAGTGGTGTCAGCGGCAGTGGGGGAGGGCGAGTGGGGCGCAGTGCCTGTTCGCCTGCCATCCTCCGCACCAGCACCCACGCCCCTGTGTGCATGCCGCTCGCCCCTCTCCCCCTCGCGTGCCTCCCCTCCGCGTCTCCTCTCCCCTGCTGCCTCGCCCAATCCCTCCATCCCGCCACCCCCTCCCCTCTCCTTGCCTCGCTCCTTGCCCCTCTCCTTCTCATCCCTCCCCCGGCCGCGCTCGCGGCTCCTCTCCTCGCGCTCGTCCCCCTCCCACTCTCTCACATCCTTGTCCCTGCCGCGCCCACCACGCCCCTTCTCCTTCTCCTCGCGCAGCTTGGCCCGCAGGTCCACAACCGGGCCCTCCTTGCCTGCACCTTCGCTCCCCATCGCTTCTCGTCCCATCCCCTCTCGCCCCATGCCATCACCGCCTCTCCATCCGTCCCTCTCGCCTCGCCTCCCATCCTTGTCTCCCTTCATCCCCATCCTCTCCTCCCCCCTCCCTGCCACCTCCCTATCACGCTCATCCCCCACACTTGCTCCCCTCTCCCTTCCCCTCTCCCGTTCCCTCTCCTTCTCTCCTTTCTCTTTCTCCCCGCCCTTCTCCCTTCCTCTCTGCTTGTGCCTATCCCTACCTCTCCCTTCTTCACTCACCCTCTCCATTCCTCCCTCCCTCTCCTCTCGCTCTCGCCCCCCCTTCTCTCCCTTATCCCCTCTTCCACTCCTCTCACCCTTGTCGCCCTTCTCACTCTTCTCATCCTTCTCGCTCCGCTCGCCTCTCTCCCTCCTCTCACCCCTCTCGTCCTTCACACCTCTCCGCGCACTCCTCTCTGACTCAGGACCCACACTCCCTCCACGCTCCTCCTTGAGACCCCTCTCCTTCTCTCGCTCCTCCTTCCACTTCCTCTCGCCCCTCTCGCCCCTCTCGCCCCTCTCGCCCCTCTCGCCCCTCTCGCCCCTCTCACCTCTCTCCTCCCGCTCCTCGCTCCACGCCCCCCTCCTCTCCCCTCCCTCCCTGTCCCTCTCCTCCCTCTCTCCCATCGCCACCCCACCATCCCTCGTCCCCTCCTGCCTTCGACCCACCATCTCCCCTCCCCGCCTGCCGAATCCCCCACCGTCCACTCCCATCCTGCCAAGTGGCGCATCCACAGCCACTCGCCCATAGCCCATGGGAGGGCCATGCCCATACTCCTCCCTTCCCCCCACACCCCCACCCATCATCCTCCCGCCCTTCACCATGCCAACTCCCCCACTCACACCCGGACCCATCCCACCCATGCCCACCCCCATACCGGGCCCCATACCACCCGGGCCCATACCCATGCCCATCATGCCCATGGCCATGCCCATATCCCTCGGCCCCATGCGGCCCCCCATCCATCTCCCTCGCCCATGCCGCCCGTGTCTGCCCCCATACGCATGTCCACCTGCATGTGCATGCATGTGCCCGGGCCCCATCGGGCCCCCTCGCCCGCCCCTGCCCCGCCCTCCGCCGAACCTCCCGCCTTCATGGAACCTTCCTTCGTGCTGGTGAGGGTGGGCATGGGGGGGAGAGCGCCTGCCTGCGCCGGTGGCAGCAGCAGCATCAAGGCGTTCATCGCCCTCACCACCCCTCTCCCGCGTCCATTTACCCCTCTGCCTCTCCCGGCCCTCCCTGCCCCCATCATCCCCCTCCTCCTGCTCCTCCTCTTCCTCCTCATACACGTCAGCATAGTCCTCCCCTTCAAATGCCAGCTCATCATCGTACTCTTCCTCCTCCTCCCCGCCTCCTGCCCTTGCTTCCTCCTTTCCCCTCTCCTCATCTCTTCGCTCGTCCGCCCGCCCCTCTCCCCCGCCATGCTCTCTGCCTCCCTCACCTCCCTCCCCCTCCTCTCCTCCCCTGTCGCCCGCCTCCCCACCTTTTGACCTCTCCCCTCTTGTCTGCTCACCATGCTTCCCCCTATCCTTTTCCTCCCGCTCCTCCATGCCAGCTGGCACTGCCACGTCATCATCGTCAAAGTCAGCAGACTGACGTCAGGGAGAGGGGAGAGAGAAGGACGGAGATGGGAGGGGGAGGAAGGGGAAAGGAAGTGGGGGAGGGGTGGAGGGGGGAAGAGGAGGGCGGGTGAGTGGGGAGGCCATGAGCACAATGGCGGGACAGAGGCGATGGTTTGCTGGCTTCATGGGGCCATAGGGTGATGGAGTCACGGCATGATGGAATGATGAGGTGAGAGGCTGATGGGGAGGTGACAGGGGGGGGTGGCAGGGGGCAAGCACTGACACGGGTGGGAGGTCGCTCAATGGCTGTAGAGTCATTGCCACGCCCATCCCCCTGCGCCTCTGCTGCTGCTGCCTCGTCCCTCTCCAGCTTCCTCCCCTCTTGCTCGTGCTTTTCCTGCTCACTCTCCCGGTCTCTCCCCCTCTCCCTCCGCCTCCTGTCACCCCCCCTGCCCCGCTCCCTCTCACCGTCCCCGTCGCTGTCCCTCTCCACATCATCCCGCCCCTCTCCCTTCCTCCCACTCCTCTCATCCCTATCACCCCTCTCACCCTCCCATCCCCCCACCTCCGCCGTCCGCCCCATCACCCCCACCACTCTCTATGGGGTGCAGGGCCGCATCCCCCTCGCCATCGGCGTCCCACATGCTGCCATAATCCACCGCATCTCCCCCCGCATCCTCCTCCTCCTCATCCCCCTGCTCCCCCTCTCTCCCTTCCCGTTCCTTACCCTCCCTAGCCTCCTCTTCCTCTCTCTCCTCTCCATCTTTCGCCTTTCTCTCGCTCTGGTCCCGACCCTCCCTCCCCTCCTCCTCATCCCCTTCCTTCTCTTCCCGCTTCTCCCGCCGCCCCCTCCTCCTCTCGCCCTCACCTCCTTCCTCCCTCTCTGCCGCAGCCCCCTTCCCTTTACCCCTCCCTCCGCCCTTCAACTCTCCTCTCTCTGCTGCCCTCTCCTCTCCCCTGCCCTCTCCCCTCTGAGCGCCCCTCCCCCCGCCACTCTCCATCTCCTCCCCTCCTTCACTCGACCCTCCTCTCCTCTTCCTACCCCCGCCCTCCCTCCGCCCGTCCCTCCCCCCAGACGCCCAGCTCCCTTCCCCATCCACCTCCCCTCCGCCCCTCGCCTCTTCCATCCCTCCCTTCCCGCGTTTCTCCTTCATGCCCCTCCCCCTCGCACTCTCCTCATGCCTCCCCTCCGCCCAGTCCTCATCTCCTTCACTCTCCCTATCCTCCCTCCACTGCCTCCCCTCCCGCCCATCCCTCTTCCCTCTCTTCCCCACATGCTCCTCCCCCCGGCCCACATTCTCCTCCCATCCGCGCTCATCCCACTCCTCTCGCCCCCCCCGCCTGCCCTTCTTCCCCTCCTCCTCGCCCCTTCGTCCCCCCCGCCTTTCCACAGATGCGCCTCTCTCTCCCCACCCATCCCACTCCTCCCTCTCCTCCTCCCACTCGCCCCCTCCGCGCATTCCCTTGGCACGCCCAAACTCCCCTCCCTTGTCGTCCTCTCCCCTCCGACCCATTCCCCTCCTCCTCTTCTCATCCCCCCCTCTCTCCTCCTGCCATTCCCTCTTCTCCCGCCTCCCCTCTTTCCCCTCCCCAAACTCCCCCCCGCGCTTATCAAACCCTGACACTCGGCCCCCCTCACCCCCCTCGCGCCCATCCCTTCGCCACCCCACTTCCCCCACCCTCCGCCCCTCCTCCTCCCCCCTGAATCTCCCCCGCCTCTCCTCCCCTCGTTCCCTCCCCCCCATAGGCCCCTCCCCAAACCCACCTTCCTCTCTCCCCATGCCCCTTGCCCGCCGCCCATACCCCTCCCCTTCTCCTCCCCTTCCGCCCCTCCGGTCTCTCTCCCCCCACAGGCCCCCCTTCTCCCTCCCCCACTCCCTCTCCCCCCTGCCGTCCCTCCCCCTCCACTCCCCCCGCCGTCCCCTCTCCTCATCCCACTCTTCATCCCCCTCCTCATGCCCCTCCTCCCCCCGCATTCTCCTCCTCTTCCTCTCCTTGCCCCCATATTCGTCCCAACCTCGCCCTTTCCCTCCCTCTCTCCCTCTCCCCTTCTCCATCTCCTCCTCCTCGTCCCAATCCCTCTGCCCTCTCCTCCTATCCTCTCTCCTCCTCCCCATACCCTCATCCTCCCCAACACCCTCCTCATCCTCCTCCTCCGCATCCCCCCGTCCCCCCCTCCCCCTCCCCTGGCGCCTTGACTTTGCCCCTGCGCGCCCCTCCCCTTCCCCCATGCTCTCCCCCCCGGTCGCATAGCTGGCAGCATGAGAGGGGGAAAGAGGGGGGCGGTGCATGCCCATCCCCCCGGAAAACCCCCCTCCGCCCCCCATATCGAATCCTCCTCGCCTGCCACCTCCCCCCATGGGTCCCCCTGCGCCCCCCATGCCTCCCCCCATGCCTCCCCCCATGCCTCCGCCCATGGGTCCGCCCATGGGGCCAGCGCCCCCAGGAGGGCCGCGGAGGAACATGGGGTGCGCATGGGGGGGCAGCATGTGCGGGGGGAGCATTCCCCCCTTCATGCCCATGGGCGGACTGGGCCTGGGGGAGGGGGGAGAAAGGGGTGTTGGGAGGAGCAAGGGTGGAGTGAGTGGGTGAATGGAGGGGAGGAGAGACACGGGAGAAAGGGGCATGTGGAGGGACATGACATGACATACCCTAGACAAGCCATGCACCACAACACCACACCACTGTCACCATCTTACAACCCACGGCCTGCCGGCCCAACCCAAGCACACCACATGGCATCGCCCTCACCACCGCCACCATCACTGCACGCACTCGCCATACCCTCCCTTGCTCACCTCATCATGTGTCCTCCGCCTGGCCCCATGCCTCGCCCCCTGCCTCCGCCCTCCATGCCAAACCCCCCCACTCCTCCGCGCCCCATGCCCATGCCTCTCCCCCCCATGCCCATCCCCGCCCCCATCCCTGCCCCCATGCCCGCCCCCATGCCCGCCCCCATCCCCGCGCCCATGCCCATGCCATCGGGTCCCCCTGGGAACATGGGGGGGAAGGGGGGATGCTGGCCTCGGGGGAGAGGGGGAGGCGGGGGAAGTGCACCAGGGGGTGCCCCTGCGCCTCCCCCCCCTGCTCCCCCTGCCACTGCGCCAGATGCGCCCTCCACAGAGCCAGCACGGGAGGGCGGGCCAGCAGCAGCAGCGGCACCTGAAGAAACAGCTGGGGTTCCACCTGAGCTGGCCGGCCCTCCCCCCGGTGCGCCCTGCTGCCCTGATACCGCCCTGCCTCCCTGCCCCTCCCCTTGCATCCTCCCACCCCCCCCTGCACTGCCACTAGGTCCTCCCCCTCCCCCTGACCCTGCTCCTGCCCCTCCCCCTGCTCCCCCCCCTCCGCTTCCCCCTGCTGCGCCCATGCCTCTGTGCGCGTCAGCAGCAGCATGGGGGGCGGTGCCGAGAGGAGGGCCGGCGGGGGGAGGGGGCTGTGGAGGAGGCGCGTCCATGGCCAGCCCCATTACTGGCACCTGCGGGCGCGCACACGGGAGGCCATGTGGGGAGGGGAGGAATGAGGGCAAGGACAGGGAAAGGAGGGGAGCACTGAGCTGGGGATGGGGCGGAGTGGTGTGCATGGGGAATGTGCATGGGGAGCAGGAACCTGATCGCCATGCCATTGCGTCACCACACCATCATGGGTGACTCATGTGCCTCATGTCACCATGACGTCAGCAGTCGCCTCACCCACCTCTATGATGACGTCAGCGTCCACGGGGCGCGGGCGGCGGGTCTCCCATGAGGGGCGGCGCTCGACGAAGAAGACGGCGTCGGCGTGCGGGCGGCTGACCATGGCGTGCGTGACAGCTGTCACCAGCTCCGGCGGCATCTCGGGGTCTATGTCCTGGCAGGGGCGAGGAGGGGAGGAAAGGGGAAGGAGGAGAGAAGGAGGAGGGAGAGAGAGGAGGTGGGGTATGAGCCGGGGGTTATGAATGGGGGCATGAGGAAGGGAGGCAGGACGGAGAGGAGGCTGCAGTGAGTTGTAATGGCTGGGGGGTTGTGAGATGTGTGATTGATGCAATGCAGACTGCCATTGCGTCCCTTGTATTGTGCACTATCTGGTGCTGCTGACTGGATGGGTATGCAGCACGTGTGATGCCACTGCGGTTGACTCCCGTTGACTTGCATTGGGACTCGCGACATTAGGTATGCTGCAATTGCTAGCATGGACCGACTGGCGTTGACTGTCATTGACTGGCGTTGACCGCTCACCTCAGTGGGCATGCGCGACTCAAACACAGGAATGCGGCTCTGCATGCTCGCCTCCAGCCGCAGCTGTGCCTGTTGGCAGAGAGGCAGATGGGGCAAGGGGGGGGAGGGTGGACGAAGTGTGGGGGGGAAGAGGAGGGGTGGGATTAAAGGTGGAATGGAACGAAAGGATGGGAGAAGTAAGACGGGGAGGTTGAGGGGAAGGGAAGGGAGGGGCGTACGAGGCGGTGGCAATAGTGGCGCCATGCGGCCTCGTTGAGGTCAAAGTTGAAGTAGTCGCTCACATCCGCTCCTGGCCTCCGCCATGGCTTGTCCTCCAAGCTGTCTATGTCCAGGTCAAACACCGTCCTGCACCCAGTCAACGCAGTCAACGCAGTCAACAAGAGTCAAACGAGTCAAACCAGTCAACCCAGTCAACCCAGTCAACCCAAGTCAAAAGTCGCCAAAAGTTTCTCGATCAGCTAAAGAAGTGATAATAGGCAGCTGGAATGGTGCTGCTAATATGACGGGGCCTTCACTAGAGAGGCACTGACTTGGTGGGCGGCAGGTTGATCTCGATATGATACCCCCGCCCCGACCCATGCTGCCACACTGCCGGCGGCCTCCCCCCCTGCCCGCCCGCCTGCTGCTGGTACTGCCCCTGCTGCCCCGCCCCTCCCCCCATTGCGGGCCCCCCTGCGCCCATTCGCCCCCCCATGCCGCCTGCCCACCCTCCCCCCTGCCCGCCAGCTCCCCCAGGCCCTCCCCCTGCAGCAAGCGCGCCAGGGGCGGAACCAGGGGGGCCGGGGGGGGTAGTGCCCATGCCTGCGCCCTCCATGCCCATGGGGGAATGGCCCTGCGGTGGAGGGGAGGGGGGGATAGGGCATGGGCGGACAGGGAACGCGGATGCAAAGGGGCGGGGGTGAGGTGGCAGGTGGCAGGTGGCAGGTGCAGCAGGCAGTGCAACAAGCAAGCAAGCAAGGCAGGAGGCATGCAAGGGCGGCACCTTGGAGGGGGGAGTCACTCGGTACCCGCGCCCTGCTCCTCCTCCCCCCGGCGCTGCAGGGGTTCCTGGGCCCCCCGCCCCACCTCCCCCCTCCCCCTCTCCCCCTTCCGCGCCCTCCTCCCCCTGGCCTCCCACGGCGCCCCCATATTCCCCCCCTGCGCCCATGCCGTACATGCCCTCCTCCCCCATGCCCTCGTCCCACTCGCCGACAGGTGGCACTGGGTCATTGGCCACGATGATCAGATCATCATCATCATCCTCACTCTCCTCCTCCTCCTCTTCCTCCTGCTCATCCTCCCCTCCCTCTCCCTCTGCTCCGCCCGCCCCATCCGCTTCCGCCTCCTTCCCTTCTGCGCCACCACTCGCCCTTTCCTCTTCCGCCTTCAATTCCGCTTCTCCTTCCATCCCCTCCCCCACTCCCTCGCGCTTCCCCGCCTCCGCCTCATCCTCCCTTTCCCCCCGCCCCCAAGCCCTTGGCGCGCATCCCCATCAACGTCCATGGCGACCCGCTCGTCCCCGCCTCGCCCGTCTGCTCCGCCCTCTACTTTCCCCTGCTCGCCTTTTAACGTCTCCGCCTCCCCCTCCCCCGCCTCCTCCGCCTCCTCCGCCTCCTCCGCCTCCTCCGCCTCCTCCGCCTCTTCCGCGTCCAGCTCCGCGAAGGGGTGCAGGCTCTGCTCGCCCTCCGCGCCTTCATTTCCGCCAATGTCACCGCCCCTCTCACCATCACCGTCGCCCCCGCTGTATAGAAACTTCTCCAAATCCTCTTCTTCCTCCTCCTCCTCCCCCTCCTCCCTTCCTGCTGCCTCCTGCTCGCCCCCCACTCCCTCGGTCCCAACCCTAACACCCCCTGCGCCACCTCGCCCTGCAATCTCCGCGTCCACAGCACCTTCCGCCCTTGCGCCCGCATCCTTCCGCCCTTCCTCCGCCTTCCGCATTTCCGCATCCTCTTCCCCTTCCCTTTTCAAACCCCCAACAATATCTTCCTTTTCGGCATGCTGATCAATGTCTCCCGCTACAGGCACATTCAATAGAGCAGCGTCATCAGCGGCGGCGGAGGCAGCGCGGTCATGGGAGTTCGAGGTCGGACCAGCGGCGTCGGCGCCCAGCGCCGCCCGCTCGCCCTCATCAGCGCGGCTTTTCCCCCCAATGCCGCTTGCTTTGCCGCCACTGGGGCTCGTATCCCGCTCCTCCACCTCCTCCTCCGCGCGATCCTTGGCTCCCCCGTACAGCTGATTGTAAAACGCATCCTCCTCATCCTCCTCCGCCTCCCCTTGCTCCTCCTCGCCGCGCCCGCGCGACGGCGATCCACCGCCCGACGGCGCCGACGAAGCACAGGGTGCCTCTCCGCCGTCCGCGTCAAAAGCTTCTCCGGCATTAGACGGACGAGTGGCAGCAGGCGAAACAGGCGGCGAGGTGAGAGGGGGAGGGATAGCTGCTGCTACCGGCGCATCGTGCACGGCCTCGCGGCCGTTGGGTGCGGATGCGGCCGCGGCGGGTGGACTCGACGGGGCTAGAGCAACAGACTTAGGAGGCTCCGCTTTAGGTAAGGTGGGGATAGACGACGGCGGTGCGATCTGGTTGACAGACTCGGTTTTCGCGGGTACGGGAATCGCAGGAGCGGGTGGTGCGGCGAGCGAAGCCGTAGAGCAGCGCCTCGTCGTCGGCATCCTCGAGGTCGTCGTCGCCGCCCAGCCCGTAGTCGTACGCCAATCGCACGGATGCGGGAGCGGCGGTGGCGCTCGCGGGGACAGACGCCGCGCCCACGTCGCCGTAAAGATCTTCGAAATCGTCGTCCTCCATTCCGCTAAATCCACCGCCTTGGATGTTACTTGATAGGGAGTCGCATAATCTACTACCACGTGGAACGAAGCGACAAACTTGACGAATGATAAGACTGGCTGGTTTGATTGAGATGGAGTGCTTTGTGAACTCGATATAGGTCGAAATCCACTTTTTTATCTGACGATGGTTGCACTTCGTAAAGGTACTGCCATTGATAGCTTGCGCTTGTTCCCTTGTTCCCCTACCTTTTCATGTTCCCCGCTTCCGATGTTTCAATAGTTCCCGTATGGCCATTTAATTTCCCTCCTCCATATTTTCTCTACCGGTACGTTCTATATCCCCTGTTTCCCACATTCCATATTTTTTTTGCCCAGACAAGCGCAGCCACGTGACCCGGTGGAAGAAAAACACTCGTTGCGAGCGCTTCTAGCCTCCAAACACGCTAGGCTAGGATCTGCACATGTGCAGGAAGTGCAGCGGGCGCTCTTCATTCTCAAGGGCCGATGACCAATGATGCTCGCAACCCTTCCACGCCCTTGCTGGCTTGGCAATAAGCCCAGACAAGCGCAACCACGTGACCCGGTGGAAGAAAAACGCTCGGAACGAGCGCTTCTAGCCTCAAAACGCGCTAGGATCCGCACATGTGCAGGAAGTGCAGCGAGCGCTCTTCATTTTCAAGGGCCGATGACCAATGATGCTTGCAACCCTTCCACGGCTTGGCAATAGGCCCAGACAAGCGCAGCCACGTGACCCGGTGGAAGAAAAACGCTCGGAACGAGCGCTTCTAGCCTCAAAACGCGCTAGGATCCGCACATGTGCAGGAAGTGCAGCGGGCGCTCTTCATTTTCAAGGGCCGATGACCAATGATGCTTGCAACCCTTCCACGCCCTTGCTGGCTTGGCAATAGGCCCAGACAAGCGCAGCCACGTGACCCGGTGGAAGAAAACACTCGGAACGAGCGCTTCTAGCCTCAAAATGCGCTAGGATCCGCACATGTGCAGGAAGTGCAGCGGGCGCTCTTCGTTCTCAAGGGCCGATGACCAATGATGCTCGCAACCCTTCCACGCCCTTGCTGGCTTGGCAATAGGACCAGACAAGTGCAGCCACGTGACCCGGTGGAAGAAAAACGCTCGGAACGAGCGCTTCTAGTCTCAAAACGCGCTAGGATCCGCACATGCGGAGGAAGTGCAGCGGGCGCTCTTCATTCTCAAGCGCCGATGACCAATGATGCTCGCAATCCTTCCACGCCCTTGCTGGCTTGGCAATAGGCCCAGACAAGCGTAGCCACGTGACCCGGTGGAAGAAAAACGCTCAAAACGAGCGCTTCTAGCCTAAAAACGCGCTAGGATCCGCACATGTGCAGGAAGTGCAGCAGGCGCTCTTCATTCTCAAGGGCCGATGACCAATGATGCTCGCAACCCTTCCATGCCCTTGCTGGCTTGGCAAGAGGCCTAGAAAAGCGCAGCCACGTGACCTGGTAGAAGAAAAACGCTCACTGGGAGCGCTTCTAGCCTCAAAACGCGCTAGGATCCGCACATGTGCAGGAAGTGCAGCTGGCGCTCTTCATTCTCAAGGGCCGATGACCAATGATGCTCGACACTCTTCCACGCCCTTGCTGGCTTAGAAATAGGCCCAGAACGACAAGTGCAGCCACGTGACCTGGTAGAAGAAAAACGCTCACTGCGAGCGCTTCTAGCCTCATAACGCGCTAGGATCCGCACATGTGCAGGAAGTGCAGCGGGCGCTCTTCATTCTCAAGGGCCGATCACCAATGATGCTCGCAACCCTTCCACGCCCTTGCTAGCTTGGCAAGAGGCCTAGACAAGCGCAGCTACGTGACCTGGTAGAAGAAAAATGCTCAGAACGAGCGCTTCTAGCCTCAAAACGCGCTAGGATCCGCACATGTGGAGGAAGTGCAGCGGGTGCTCTTCATTCTCAAGGGCCGATGACCAATGATGCTCGCAACCCTTCCATGCCCTTGCTGGCTTGGCAAGAGGCCTAGACAAGCGCAGCTACGTGACCCGGTGGAAGAAAAACGCTCAGAACAAGCGCTTCTAGCCTCAAAACGCGCTAGGATCCGCACATGTGCAGGAAGTGCAGCGGGTGCTCTTCATTCTCAAGGGCCGATGACCAATGATGCTCGCAACCCTTCCATGCCCTTGCTGGCTTGGCAAGAGGCCTAGACAAGCGCAGCCACGTGACTTGGTGGAAGAAAAACGCTCACTACGAGCGCTTCTAGCCTCAAAACGCGCTAGGATCCGCACATGTGCAAGAAGTGCAGCGGACACTCTTCATTCTCAAGGGCCGATGACCAATGATGCTCGCAAGCCTTCCACGCCCTTGCTTGCTTGGCAAGAGGCCTAGACAAGCGCAGCCACGTGACTTGGTGGAAGAAAAATGCTCATTGCGAGCGCTTTTAGCCTGAAAACGTGCTAGAAACTGCACATGTGAAGGAAGTGCAGCGGGCGCTCTTCATTCTCAAGGGCCGATGACCAATGATGCTCGCAACCCTTCCATGCCCTTGCTGGCTTGGCAAGAGGCGTAGAAAAGCGCAGCCACGTTACCTGGTAGAAGAAAAACGCTCACTGCGAGCGCTTCTAGCCTCAAAACACGCTAGGATCCGCACATGTGCAGGAAGTGCAGCGGGCGCTCTTCATTCTCAAGGGCCGATGACCAATGATGCTCGCAACCCTTCCACGCCCTTGCTAGCTTGGCAAGAGGCCTAGACAAGCGCAGCCACGTGACCTGGTAGAAGAAAAACGCTCAAAACGAGCGCTTCTAGCCTCAAAACGCACTAGGATCCGCACATGTGGAGAAAGTGCAGCGGGCGCTTTTCATTCTCAAGGGCCGATGACCAATGATGCTCGCAACCCTTCCACGCCCTTGCTGGCTTGGCAAGAGGCCTACACAAGCGCAGCCACGTGACCTGGTAGAAGAAAAACGCTCATTGCGAGCGCTTCTAGCCTCAAAACGCGCTAGGATCCGCACATGTGGAGGAAGTGCAGCGGGCGCCCTTCATTCTCAAGGGCCGATGACCAGTGATGCTCGCAACCCTTCCACGCCCTTGCTGGCTTGGCAACAGGCCTAGACAAGTGCAGCCACGTGACCTGGTAGAAGAACAACGCTCACTGCGAGCGCTTCTAGCCTCGAAACGCGCTAGGATCCGCACATGTGCAGGAAGTGCAGAGGGCGCTCTTCATTCTCAAGGGCCGATGACCAATGATGCTCGCAACCCTTTCACGCCCTTGCTGGCTTAGAAAGAGGCTTAGACAAGTGCAGCCACGTGACGTGGTAGAAGAAAAACGCTCACTGCGAGCGCTTCCAGCCTCAAAACGCGCTAGGATCCGCACATGTGGAGGAAGTGCAGCGGGCACTCTTCATTCTCAAGGGCCGATGACCAACGATGCTCGCAACCCTTCCACGCCCTTGCTGGCTTGACAAGAGGCCTAGACAAGCGCAGCCACGTGACCTGGTAGAAGAAAAACGCTCAGAACGAGCGCTTCTAGCCTCAAAACCCGCTAGGATCCGCACATGTGCAGGAAGTGCAGCGGGCGCTCTTTATTCTCAAGGGCCGCTAAACAGTGATGCTCGCAACCCTTCCACGCCCTTGCTGACTTGGCAAGAGGCCTAGACAAGCGCAGCCACGTGACCTGGTAGAAGAAAAACGCTCACTGCGAGCGCTTCTAGCCTCAAAACGGGCTAGGATCCGCACATGTGCAGGAAGTGCAGCGGGCGCTCTTCATTCTCAAGGGCCGATGACCAATGATGCTCGCAACCCTTCCAGGCCCTTGCTGGCTTGGCAAGAGGCCTAGAAAAGCGCAGCCACGTGACTTGGTAGAAGAAAAACGCTCAGAACGAGCGCTTCTAGCCTCAAAACCCGCTAGGATCCGCACATGTGCAGGAAGTGCAGTGGGCGCTCTTCATTCTCAAGGGCCGATGACCAATGATGCTCGCAACCCTTCCACGCCCTTGCTGGCTTGGCAAGAGGCCTAGACAAGCGCAGCTACGTGACCTGGTAGAAGAAAAATGCTCACTGCGAGCGCTTCTAGCCTCAAAACGCGCTAGAACCCGCACATGTGCAGGACGTGCAGCGGGCGCTCTTCATTCTCAAGGGCCGACGACCAATGATGCTCGCAACCCTTCCACGCCCTTGCTGGCTTAGCAAGAGGCCTAGACAAGCGCAGCCACGTGACTTGGTAGAAGAAAAACGCTCACTACGAGCGCTTCTAGCCTCAGAACGCGCTAGGATCCGCGCATGTGCAGGAAGTGCAGCAGGCGCTCTTCATTCTCAAGGGCCGATGACCAATAATGCTCGCAACCCTTCCACGCCCTTGCTGGCTTGGCAAGAAGCCTAGACAAGCGCAGCCACGTGACCTGGTAAAAGAAAAACGCTCACTGCGAGCGCTTTCAGCCTCAAAACTCGCTAGGATCCGCACATGTGGAGGAAGTGCAGCGGGCGCTCTTCATTCTTAAGGGCCGATGACCAATGATGCTCGCAACCCTTCCACGCCCTTGCTGGCTTGGCAAGAGGCATAGACAAGCGCAGCCACGTGACGTGGTAGAAGAAAAACGCTCACTGCGAGCGCTTTTAGCCTCAAAGCGCGTGAATCCCTATAGGCGTAGGGAAAAGCATTCAACAACCTAAATTTTATTGCATATTCGTGTGGCCCATGTTCAAATACACAAACTATAGCCTTTTGTGCTTGGTTCTTGCGCAAAGAAATGTTTGGCGCTCACAATTTCGGCCGATTTTGCCGCCAAGTGCCTAGAAAGCGCGTGAATCCCTATAGGCGTAGAGAAAAGCATTCAACAACATGAATTTTATTGCAGATTCGAGTGGCCCATGTTCAAATACACATACTAGAGCCTTTTGGGCTTGGTTCTTGCGCGAAGAAAAGTTCGGCGCTCACAATTCCAGCCGATTTTGCCGCCAAGTGCCTAGAAAGCGCGTGAATCCTTATAGGCGTAGGGAAAAACATCCAACAACCTGAATTTTATCGCACATTCGAGTGGCCCATATTCAAATACACATACTAGAGCCTTTTGGGCTTGGTTCTTGCGCGAAGAAAAGTTCGGCGCTCACAATTTCGGCCGATTTTGCCGCCAAGTGCCTAGAAAGCGCGCGAATCCCTATAGGCGTAGGGAAAAGCATTCAACAACCTGGATTTTATTGCATATTCGAGTGTCCCATGTTCAAATACACATACTAGAG